TTTTTATCATTTGTTGCTTCATATCTACTAGTAGTAGCCAGCAGAGGCCAACATAACAACTTCTTCTAAGTATTGTGTCTACACCAATAATTTTCTATGGGGATTCTGAATATGACAATGCCATAKCACTAGAGTGGGCACACAGAGGTATGCTAAATAGAACTATCATACCTTTTGACCACCATTATTTTATTGTCTTATGACTACTTTCACTGAAAAACTGACTTGTACCATAGGGTACAGCATCTATGCATGTGCTCAATTTTTTACCTGATCAATTTTTAATGATCCCACAAGTGAATGCAACCAAAAAGTTTTGGGCATATGTGCTGGATGGCCATTTTTGGCTGGATTTTCTAAATCTCAGCCACAAGTCATGAGCACATGGCAAAGAAGAGTCCCTAAATCAATGCTACACAACCTCATCAACAATGATGATAATAACTACTACCAATTGCAACTCGTGGCATTAAAACCCAGGATTCAMACATTTAAACAGTAATATTGTCAAATAGCCACTCTGAAATAAATCACTACCATGGAAAAATTATTTGAGAACRTGATAGTCATGATTTACTATGATACACAACAGGTGATACAAAAACTTCCCCTCAGGGGCCCACCTATGTTTCATTCCACTTTTTGGATTGCAGAATCTCTTTGGCTCCACCTTACCTGATTGAGGATCTTTGTTTCTCTGAAAGGAGGACTTCTGCACATGAATTTTGTTGTAGGTATCAGGAGAGCAAAGGCCTCATCTTATGTCACTTGGMAAATCCCTTGCCCTATTCTTATTTTCATTAAAATTGGTATTCCTGGTGCTTAGAGATGCCAACATTCTTGTTACAAAATAGTAAAACTCTTGATTGTTTGCACTTCCATATGCCCTGTAGAATGGGTGTTACATATTCTTCCCTTTCTCTTTGGGATCCCAATCAGAAATGTCCACAATTCCTGGAAATCCTATTGGGATGTTTCCTTTTTCAATGTCATCTGTTTTGGTGCCAGGAAGGAAAAGCAACAAGACCATGGTTAGATTGTTTTTGCCCAAGCAAGTTCAGTAGCAGAGCCCCTTCACTTTTATGTACCAAGCCATTTTCTTGTTGCAAAACTCTGAGTGTAGTGTGCTTTCTGAGGGTTCTGTTTCAAAAAATGGCACTGAATGGTTGAGCCTTTCCTCTCAAAGTTTCATTCATCTTCCAAACAAAAGGAAGACCCACCAAAACCAAGATTTTTGCCAATTTAGTGCAAGCTGTAATTCAATCCTACCCCATACAGCTTTATATTTTGAAACAATATCAATCATACTCAACCAATCAAAATTCACTCCTGCTCCATTTGGCATTAGTACATTGCAGAACAATTTAATCCTACTCCTTCAGGCACTCTATTTCCATCARAATTCAATCCTACTCCACTTGGCATTCTATTTTCAAGCAATTGTGACTAACCATTGAGCAATCAACAATTCTTGGAATTCCATCACACTCCATTTGGCATTCTATTGYAGAACAATGCAATCCTACTCCATCCTGCATTATATTTCCATCAAAATTCAATTCTAGTCCATTTGGTATTCCATCTTCAAACAATTGTGTCTAGTAAGAATGATCAACTGATTGTCAATTCCTAGAATWTAAACTTAGTACTCCATACAGCATTCTGTTGTAGAACAATTCTATCCAGCATTATATTTCAATCGAAATTCAATCCCACTCTGTTCTGCATTGCTCTGTTCAATGATGTACTATGACAACCTGAAGAATAATCCCATCCTACTCACACCCAAGATGATTTCAAGAAAGCCTTTCAACTTGTCACCCAAAACAACCTCTATCCTTGCATCAAAAATACAGCTCAGGGTATGATTGATGCTTCAATCCAGGAGACAATGAGTGTACACAAGAATGCTTCAATATACTAGGAGGCAATGGATGTAGAGATGAAGAATGATACAGAGCCACTGGAAGAATCTGATGATGATTCAGATTTCTTTTGCATTGTTGTTGACCCATCTCCCCCTCCACTAACACAAAGAAAACAGCCAATGAGACAAATGAATCAGCAGGAAATCACTGATGAGCTTGTTTTGCCATGGGAAACTACAGCAGCCATATCACYAGTCAGATCCTTATTGCCCCCTTACCCCACCAACAGGCCACCAACAGGTGGGTGAATTATCCAATGTTGGTGTAGAATCCATCAGCAAAGTGACACAAAAAGGGGGCTGATACATCCACATGGGCAGTTGTAGCTCTGGAGCAAAACAATCCATTTTGGACACTTCATGTAGGCAACCATGATCTCTACCTTATCATTGAAACCAACAAGATTGTTCATATCATTGAGTATAAGAAAGAACGTCAAGTATACATTACAAAGGACTTAACAAACAATTTGCATCACCAGAAATATTTCTCAGACTTTGCCAACACATCCTTCTTTGACACTATTAGTACTCACCATCAAGAGAAAGGAGAGCATTTATGGTAGTACAATGCATGATGGTCTGACCCTGAGCATGGGCATCTTAAGCTAGCACAAAGATACTCATAATCCTTCCCAATGGAGGATGACTGCAACACTGCCCATGTCATGGGCATACTACCCTACATGGATGGTCAGCAGATAAATGTTGGCCTGTTTAACAAGAAGTGCATCAATGCTTCCATTTGCCATATGAACTACTATTACACCAGTATGCGTGATAAGCTTGTCACTTTCTACAAGCCTSCCTAATTCCTGATTGACCATTGAAACTCAAGTGCAGGAGATATTTTGGTAAGGGGTTCCATGGCAAGATTTTTCTCAATGATGAAAGGAAGGGAAATCTAGTAACTATTTATTCATCAAAAGGGGGAGACGAGGTGAAGACAGCTCATCAGATTATCAACAACCTCTCACCTACTCTTTTTAGCAAGCTCGGAKATGCCAGAGCAGGTTGCAGATGTACAAAGACTTGTGGACAGTGGCAGTCTGGATGTGTTTATTCCCCAATTCAAAGTTAACACCAGTAATTCTGTTCCAGTATTGTCTCATAACCCCTTTGCAGACTGGAAACAATTTCAAAATACATRGGTTGCTGTTTGTTTGATAACAAATGTAGTGTCCGTMACCTATATAATTTAGAAATTTGAAGTACACAAAATTGATTAACTAAATGGAGTTCAAATAGCAGTCCAATCTGACAAAATCAATATTGCATGGTGGTCCAGTAAGACAAAATTGATACAGAGCTCTACAGAGTTTTGCTATGATTTTTTACATAGTTTACAACTGACTTGCCTACTGAGAAAGATTCAGAATTGGGTCTGTGTCAGAAGAATATTTAAAAACCACCCTCTGTAGATTTTGTACCATGGTCTACGCTTATGTTGGGAACCTCTGGATTAGTATGTGGATCAATTCTTTACAATGAAAGACATTAATTTTGTATTTAACCTCGTGAACTAGAAGAGGCACATGTTGGCCAGAACCATAACTTCTTTGTAGAAGTGTGATCCTAACTACCTCAAGGAGCAGCGCCTCCCTCCAAGGGGTGTTTGTGGAGGTGCAACTGAATGTTTTGAAAATTTTTGAATTAAAAAATAGACCATTGCTTTTTATCAAAGAAGGAACCTTTGATTGTTTGACATGCTGATGGTGGTGTATTGAGAGTCCTAAATACATGTATCAATGCCAACAACCCCCTYGTGGATAAGCTGCTCCACTTGTGTACCAAACTGAACTTATTTCTTCATTGTGATCCAACCACCTGCCCATCTGATAAACATTTATTGGATCTTTGTAAGGAATGTGAGGACCTGACAGTCATTAGTGATCCTATCCTTACAACTCCACTGGTGTCATAGAAGACCCTATTACAGAAGATGTAATC